GCTCTTCATTTCCCACGGAAACCCACGTCCAGCCACAATGCTAAGTCCCTTTTCACTGCTTATCCTTTACTATGATCTAGGTCTATAATCTTCTCTGAAACGTTAGCTAATAATACAAAGCTGTTAGATTAGTAAAAATACTTTAAAAATAAGCAGTCACAAGGGGAAAATAATTTTCTATATTTTTTTTTTCTGTGATGCTAGAATTCACGTAGTATTGAATCCATTCCCTGGCAAAAGGAATGGCTTTTCAGCAACAGACAAAAAGGCACATCAGTGGGAATACAGTGGTATTTCCTGCTATAAGTTAAACTCAAGGCGGGAGGATAATACTAAAACTCAGGTTTGTAGGAAAAAAAACCTTGAAGACGTGGGAATTATGTCCAGCTAGGTGGCTAGACAGATGTTTCTAGCATGAATTCAGCCTCTGGTGTTTGTTAAGTATTATTCAGTGTTGATCTACAGAAGGAACTACTCTTTTCTGTACCACCGCAGCCAAAAAAGTATCAAAGAACAAACATCCTTATCCGTAAACATCTTCCCTATTAAAAGCCGACGTCGTATGAAAATCAATGTTGTTCCTGGAAATGAAATTTTGAAAGGATTTAATCAGAAGCACGCAGATGTTGCCACATGTAATCCTTTTACATCAGCAAGACATTAAAATACTTTGACCGACTATGAAAAAGTCATTGATATTTCTTGCAGAGGTTCGCAGGATGTGGCTTCCCATTAGCCTGGTAACAATCAGATACGTAAAAAAGATTCAATCTAAACTCTTTTCCCTTAAGGTAAGTGTGATCATAATAATTAGGAAAGCTATTGCTTCCCCCAAAAAACTGGTGGGGCAAGATTTCCTTGTATTCCCAGAAGATCATGCTGAAGTTCCAATGTGCTGAGGTTGACAGCAGACCCAGGAGGACGGCTGACCAGGGAGAGAAGGATTCTAAATCCAGGGGGAGAGCAGAGCGGCAGAGTGAGGCAGTCCTGAACTTCTGGATTGTCTATTCTCGTTTAACTTCAGGGGGAAAAATATCTTGAAGGTTTAGAAAAATTACCTGAACGAAAATAATCATAAAGTCCTAATAAAAAGTTAGAAACTAAATATTAAAAAAAAATTTCACAATTTTGCTCCTGAAAACAATGCCAACTGCGAATAGCTGCTGTGTAAACTTGCCTATGTGACCACTGAAAAGTGACGGTGGCAGCGTTTGATAAGCTGCTGCTCTCAGATACTTGGTGTTGAAGTGACTTTGAGAGTTGGCTGAACATTGTGCCTTTCAAAAACTTGTGTGTGGGGAAACTACCTGATGGTAGGCAATATGGACTTTTATTAGATTATGTTCTAAAAGAACTTCTATGCAATCGATGGATGGGATTGTGGCAAGGTTGAGAAGCTGCAGCGGATGGAGATCTTGCATGTCTCACTCAGCACTGTGAGTTACCGACCACTAAATCCCGATATCCAAACTTCCTGCAATGAGACTACTAGCTAGCTGGATCACACGTTCTCTAATAAGAAATTTAAACACAATGAAACAGACAGCCTATTGCTTTTATTTGTGTCATTTGCAAATAGCGAAAATGAACCACTTTTGTTTAATCTTTTATTTTTAAAAGATACATAGATGTATTCAGAGTACATGTGCAAATGTTCTTTATGAAGAGGGGCGGATAATTTTGATAGATCCATTGCTTCATAAATTATTATAATCAAATCTTTACAACTGCTTTAGAATGACGAACCAAAAATTTTTAAGATAGCTTACTTTAAAAAATTGCACAGGTCAAAATTTGCTTTAGAACAAGTACAGTGAGGAAAGGAAGCATAGAAAAATCCTCAGAATTCTATCACCAGAGACAATTTTGACATTCTAGTCCCTATGTGCCTAGAGTTTATCAGTCTCTAAGTCTACCTCTTTCACAAACGGGTCTATTCCTTACTTAAAATTGTTTTCATGGGGGGCTTTTATATACAATTGCAAATTGTTTAAAATGAAACTTAGGTGAGATTTTTGGGATGGAGTTAAAATCGAACAGAACAACATTAAGAAAACAACCTTCTGCTGTGATCAAGAACGAATCCTGATCATTAATCCTGGGTGGGGTTATACCAGTTGTTCAACTCAGTCCACTGCTTGTCATTTTAATGGCCTTTTTCTAGACAGTACATGTGTGGTTTAGCTAGGGAGGCAAGTTACCGAGAAATAGCCTGACCAAACTGTGTGGGTTTCGACTTGGCTTCATCTTCCTGTGACACAGGCAACAAAGCAGGCAGAGCAAAGGGAACTACGCTGCTAACAGCTTATTATTTCTGTAGAACATTTTAATCATATTCCAAGCTGATAAAAGCTGGTTAATAACCTAGAACTACTATTATTAATTCCATACAACACAATAGAGAAGAGAAACCAGAGCGGGACTAGCAAGGAAAGCATTGTTTTCCAAATCAAGGAGCTGTCTTTCTGAGAGGTGTTCTTGCACCCAATATCATGGAACATTGTTTTTATCAATGACTAACAGTACTAGAAAAAATGTTCATTGACACAGCAAACGAAAGCAAGCTGGGAAATGAAAACTAAGAAGAGGAAGTTACGTTCTCCAGGACCAGATTAGGACCAAAATAAAATTGGAGAAGTAACGAGGAGTCAACACCATGAGTGGGCTGAAAGAAGGGCCAGTAATTGGCAAGTGTCCCAGAGATAGCAGAGTTGTCAACAAGTAACAAGCTGCCTGGAATCAAGCATGGAGTGCTGGAATTTCAACAGCAAATGTAACATTGTGAAATAGGGTCCTTACTAAAGCTTAGCTAAAAGTGGAGTGCCATTTGCAGACACTAAGAACTTGTTCTTTTTTGTTTTTCTTCTTTTACCAGGAATGCAATTCCACTTCACAGAAAAGATGACTACTTTTTTTCTTCTAGAAGAGATGGAGTCATTGAACAATGGTTTTTAAATAGGCATGCACAATTATGAAGATAACTGGATTCAGGCTCTTTATGTGCCTCCGTGATTGAAAAATGAATCAGCTACATTCAACTTTCACAAAGACTAACAGAAAAAACTGAAGCTGAATTGCATTAGGAAGGAGTTAGTATAGAATTGACAGGGATAAAAAAAATAGTGAATAAGAGTGGGAACAGTGGTAAGAAACTGATAGAATGTCCATGGTTTCACTGCTACTTTTCTGTAAGAGTGAACTGTGGTCAAACACTGGGGATGAGATAGAAAAATCTTAAATATGCTGGTGAGACTTCAAGTTTTGTGATTTCTGTTTTATGCAGTCACTAGAACAATTTGCACCAAGACTTTAAGGCAAGCTTTTATTACTGTTCTTCAAACTGTTCTTGTCATAACAAAAGTAAGGTCATTTTCAAATGGAAGTGTAGTGTTCGCAGCAGCAGGAGTCTGAACACCAATCTGGTAAGAAAGAACCTAAAATACATAAACAGAAGCTAGCATGTAAGCAAACCCTGCTGATACTTTTTCTTAGATGCACCTTTATTTTTTCTTTCCAAACTTTTGGTTTACAAATGACATATGTACACACACACACACACACACACACACACACACACATTAACTTTGAACGTTTAAAACAAGCTCTGTAAACAAGCATAAGAAATACATAGGCAATTCCACAACTGAGGAAGAAAAACTAATGAACATTTTGAAATATATCTTCTCAAACCTTTTCTGTGTACAAAATAATTTTATAATGTATAATTTTAATTTGTTTTAAATGCTTACAAAAAATTGTGTGATCTCTTGCTTGATTGAATACGATAAACATGATTTCGTATCAGTTTAGTTTTACATCGTCTTTTGAAATGGCCATTGTAGTTTATGTAATTTTTATACCTTTGGTTATCTAAGTATTTTTGCTTGTTCACTATTATTAGCAGCTGCAAAAAAAAAAAAAAAAAAAAACCTCTAGCACTTATTATTATTTTTTTCCAGCAAGAAGAGCATTGGAACAAAGAATCCAGGGCATGAACTCATCCAATAACTATTTACTCATACTCAATTGGGGTGGGCGTTGCATTTACTGGCAGTTGCCTTTCCTGGTAAAGAGAAGTGGTTAAGGGTGGATCTCCACTTTCAGTCTCACAGAATTGTAAGACGCATGGAGGAAGAAGGAGCACCAAAATGCCCACCTTCTTGCAGAGAACATCTGGTTCCAGACCAGGCTGCTAGGTCAGGGGGCAGGTGTGTATATTATGTATCAACGAACACCTACAAGTTCACAACGGCTAGACAAAGTACGAACTCATAACTGTCCACAGACCAGAGCCAGGACTAAGACTTTGGCCACCTCTGCTCGTTTCCCTGAGAAGTAACCGCGTCGCGGGGTCTCCTGGCGCGGGGCGCACGGGGCAACTTCCCCCTAACTGCTTCCACCTGGAGGACCTCCCCAGGCGGAGCGTGGCGTTGGAGATTAAGGGCGAGGCTGCTGAGCGCCGTGGTCCGAGCGAGGGTGGAAGACAAAACTTCGTGCCGTGTTAACTTGGTTGTCTCCACCCAGCTCGGGATTTACGGGAGACTACACCATGCAAGGTGCCTGTTCTAAAGATCGTCTCCCTGAGTCAATCAGGAAGCGCGGCCGTGGCTGCCAGGGCTTAGAGAGAGCCCACGGGAGAAGCCGCTCCGAGCAGGTGGCCTCAGCCCGGCCTCCTCCTCCTCCTCCTCCGCCGCCGCCCCCGGCTCGCCTCGGCCGGAGGACGCTGGTTTCCGCGGCAGACGGAGGGGAAGCATCCTCCACGCCGCACACTCCATCAATGGGATTCCCCTCGTGGGAAACGTCCCCTCCCGGAGGCCGTGCCCTCGCGCGGCCAGGCCCGTCGCCGCCGCGCCTTCCTCCGCCCAGGGCGGGCGCCACGAGCTCCTCCCCGAGCCCGGGTGGACGCGGCGCTCCCTCGGCGCCCCGAGCGCAGCCGGCACCACCCGCCGCCGAGAGGGCGGGCGCGGCGCGCGGGGAGGGGAAGGGGTTCTCGCGCGATTGGGCGAGGTTTCCGGTGTTGTGACTGAAACCCGTCAATATGGCGGCGATCGGCCGCGGCCGCTCTCTCAAGAACCTCCGAATACGAGGTGAGCCCGCTGCAGCCCTCACTCCTCAGCTCTCTGGGCTCCCGCCACCCCTGGCCCTTGCCTTTCCCTGGCCCTGTGTGTGTGTGTTTGCGCGCGCGCGTGTGTGTGCGGAGTGGAGGGGACGAGCCCGGGCGCTGGCCCGAGCCGGGGGAGTCCCCCGCTGGCCTGCGAGCCAATGTTAATTGGGGTTTGTGTGTCTGTTTGGCGCAGGGCGGAATGACAGCGGCGAGGAGAACGTTCCGCTGGATCTGACCCGAGGTAACGCGGGGCGCCCAGTGCGCGGCGAGGGCGCGCTGCTGGGGAGGAGCTGGACTCGGGGCCGGAGGACACGGGGGAGAGAACCGGGGAAGCCGAGGCAGGGGCGGGCCCCGCCGCGCGGGACCGGCGGTGGAGTGAGGGGCACAGCCCGGGAGCCCGGCCGGGCCCGCCTCGCTGGACCCATCCCCCTTCCCGGGGCTCGCTTCTTTCGCCCCAAGTCCTTCTCCGGGCCTCGAGAGTGCTGGCGGGCGCGGGGGAGCCCCGGGAGGCGTTGGCGGAGCCGGCCACCCCCTGGCTGGGACTGGTGGCCCCCTGGTTGGGAATGCAGAAGGGTGGGGGGGTGGGAGGGGGTGGGCGTCAGGCAGCGGTTTATCCTAAATCCTGGAGCCCCTGCAGCCGACCCCTGGGGCCGGCCCGAGGGAGGCGGAGGTTGTTATTTAGGTGGCAGGAGGATGTTTGAGGGAAGAGAGACCACATCCTGCCCTCCCCGTCTCCCGGAGCCAAAGCCGGACCTGGCTGGCTGGCTCGCTTGGGGCTGAAAGCGTGCTTCGCTTTTTCTTTCTGCACCGCCCAGGGGTCGTGCGGGGGGAACCTCCGGCATCGGGAACTCGGTCATTACTACTGCGTGTCTGGTTTACGCTGTATTTTCCGTCTGTTTCTGTTTCCCGGGCGGCTGGGACCGTACTTAGCCAAAGACCGCCCCCTCGCCCTGCTGCAGGTTCATTGTTTACCTTCTGCAGCGGAGACGTGTTTGTTTACATCTTCGGAACTGGGTATACACCAGGCTTGTGTTTTTAAGGACCCGATACGGCCACCAGCCAGTATCTTTTGATAACGGGGACCTTATTGGGGTTTCATCCGACAGGGTCTGAAGTTGAAGGCTTCGTAGTTACGTACTCATTGGGAGAGTCTTTTTTTTTTTTTTTTGTCCTCCACGGTATAAACAGGATTTGGTCGTCTGGTTTCTGACCAAGTCGTATCTCGTAGCAGCTGTAGCTAGCTTGCATTGTAACCTGGTTCAGCTGCGCTCGTTGAGATCGGTTGAAACACTTGTAGGAAGTTTTAAGTCGTGGTCGACATTCGATATACGATCGATTTATTATTTAACCCTATGTTGTATTCGACGTGTCACGATCATTGTTAACCCCTTAGTTAACCACGGGCTCACTGTTGGGACGTACCACTGAATTGAAGGCATAATGCATTCTCTCATTTGTTTTATGTTGTGTATAGTAATGTCAGATAGCTTTATAAACTGAAAGGCCAGTTCATGTAGCTACAAGAATGCTTTTTTTTTTTTTTTGTAACAGCATTTTATTCTGAAACTTAAGGAACTTGGCTTTGGGTTAGACCAGTGTTTGTGAAGGCACGAGAGTTGGAGAAGTACAGGAGAGCAGGGTTTGAGAACTGAAAACGTCACTAATTAAGATCACCCGTGCGCTAATTTGGAACAGGTTTTCAGCAGCTAGATGTGGTGAATCAGTGTCAGAACATGTAAAGCTCTTGGCTTTTGTGCGACTATTTGGAAACTTTATCATATGTGACACACTTAAAAGGAAAAACATTCTACATAAACTTGTAAACAAAAATAGGGCTAATTCTTACAGACCTGACATAATTTAACATTCCAAATTAGTAACAGACGGGGCTTATTAGTGATTTTATACACACACACACACACACACACACACACACAAGCATGCGTGCTTTAGATGGAGTTGGAAAGTGCAGGGAGGTCAGTTTGTGCATTAAAAACCGACTTGGATCTGGTTCATGTCAAAGTTTTGGGTTGTATGAGAGCTTGTGTGCAAGTTGGGTGCCTTTGGTTTACTCCAGTTTTAATGACGTACACATGCAGCTCTGCATATTTGCTATTTGAAATGCTATATTCCCTAAGAATTTAAAAATACTTCATGTTCATAGGCGTGTCCAGGATTACATGAAAAGTACGGAGAATGCTGTTTCTGCTTGCACTGGCAAAATATATTTCAGTTTGGAATAAAATGTACATGGTTAGTTTGGAACGGATTTCAAAAGTGATTCACAACTAGATATGGGAGGTTATATGAGAACTCCATTCCTAAATCATAAGTGCAGAATAAAAAAAAATCTGAGCTAGATCCGTTATATAGTGATGCTGTTGTTGAGAGAAGCTACTGTTCTGACATTTCATTGTCGGAGGAAAGCTTGTGCGTCTAGTGCGAAGAAAGTCCGTGAGGAATTAAACCGTAGAAATAATTTGAGAACTGTGGGCAGTCTGCGTTCTCCGAGGGGCAGCTGTTTGTGGATTGAATTACAACATGTAACAAGATAAGGTTCGGGCAGCCGAAATTGTTTGTTAAGGCACTATTTGTTCTTACTATGATTGTTATCATGTTGTCTCTGAGAAGCTTATCCTGTAGGTAGGTAACAGTCATTATCCACTACAGTTGGAGTGACTGTAATCCTTTAGGGAATGTCAGTGTTTGCCATAGTTAGCCATCGGACGGGCTAGCCGTGAAGTCAAGGGCTGGAACCTCAGCTGGAGTTGTTAATAAGTGGGTGATTTGGGGCAGGTTATTTGACTTTGTCTAAATCGTTCCATTTTCATCTCCCAAAGGAAACTTCAAAGGGTTATTAGAAATCGGAGAAACACATCAGGTAATTCCCAGTTGAAAGTCCTCAGTTACAGGATCAGATACTTTGTAATGTAACGCTTCTCCTGCCTTCCTGCCTTTTGAGATCAGGATTCCATTAGAACTATATCAGAACTGTTCTGAATAGTACCAACCTGCTAATAACCAATAAGGACTGTTGCTATTCCAGCTTCATTTCGTTGAGACATAGTACTGTAATTTGATAGGACTGTAATTCGTTGAGTTCCTGAGTATAATAACTATAACGAGAGGCCTCTAAAACAGAGCGCCTGTTATGTGTTTGCGGTAAAATGTAGGATTTCATCTTATGGAAGCTTGGAATGTTTCTGTAATCTCAGCATTTTTTAGTGGAGGTGCCTAAGCTAGCCTGACAGGCCGGGTGAGGCCCCCTGCTGTTCCAAGGTGCTTTGATTCTGGTGCTGTGCTAGTGCTGTGTTTCCACTGGGAGTTCCTCAGATAACAATGTTGATGGTAATTCTGACCTAGGACCAGAATTTTGTTATATTAGGTTTCACAGACAACCTGTTGATAATTTTTTGCTTTCAGTTTTGTTCACATAGCTACTTCTGTTTAATTTGTGGAAGTTCCTGGTATTTGCTATTGATATCATTAAATGCTGTCTCTGTGTTGCCTGCCAAAATGTACTTTGAAACCCAGCTGCCTCCCTTAGCAACTTCAGCTGCAAAAATTATCCTGTAAAGGCCCTGTGCGGTAGCCTAGTGTCTGAGGTCCTTGCCTTGAAAGCACCAGGATCCTGCATGGACGCCGGTTCTAATCCCGGCGGCCCCGCTTCCCATCTAACACCATGCTTAAAAGGGTGGCCTGGGAAAGCAGTCGAGGACGGCCCACGGACTTGGGACCCTGCACCTGCGTGGGAGACCTGGAGGAAGCTCCTGGCTGCTGGGTTCAGACCGGATCAGCTCTGGCCATTGCAGTCACGTGGGGAGTGAATCAATGGACAGAAGGTCTTCCCCTGTCTTTTCTTCTCTCTGTATATCTGACTTTCCAACAAAAATAAGTAAATCTTTTTTAAAAATTATCCAATTAAAAATACACACACACAGTTCAGTAGTGTGTCTCTTCCTGGTACTGAATAGCTTGAAAGGACACAATGTTCTTTATTTTATGTGTCCTGCTAGTATAATTTATGACTATTGTATGAAGTGAATGCTTAAACATGGACACCTGGGTTCAAATAGTTATTAAAATATTTGTTAAAAGTACTATTAAGTTTTATAATATCTTGTTATTTCTGATAGGAATAAAGTTGACTTTCTTAGTGTAACAACTAAAATAGTAGAATGTCTTCTGAAATGCGGTAGATTTCAATATTAGTTTTTTTTCTTATTCTAGTTAAGCCCTCATTTCAGTAGGTGAAAATGTTAAATATGTACCTATTTGAGTTGCTAAAGAAATACAAGTGAGAAAGGTGTTGCACCCTGTTGAGCAGGTTGTTGTAACAGACATGAAGATGTGCTTGCAGTTGGGTCAGTTCATGTGGGGGAAGAATGATCAGCTGGTTTGTGGAGGATTGGAGAGGTCTCAGGGCTGTACTGTCCTAAGAGTGGACACGGCAGAAGGAAATACGGGGTTCTCCAGGGAGTATGGCACACCTTGGAGAGGGGCGAGGCGGAAGGTAGAGGAGTTGACCAGGACCAGGTGCAGGACCAGGGCATTGGCTGTAGAATGAAGCCAACTAGGTGTTAGAATTGAACTAATTCCTTTGTTTCCCTCAGATTGCCAGCTGACTTTGTTATGCCCCTGTTCTGTGTGGGGAGCCTTTAATTCTTTATTGAGAAGGTAGAGGCTGTTCGACACGGAATCTCTAATCTCTCTCGTACTTCTGTTGCCTTGAGTCAGAAAATAAAGCTTCTCTATTCCTTTCCTAGGGGAATTTAGAAAGGAATGTTGTGCTCCTAATACTGTTTCTTATAAAATTAAAATCTTGGTTTGTTCCTTCCCCTCAGCTTGGGTTTTCTCGTGCTCACCAGGCGTTTGTTTAATCCTTCCTGCAGACCAGGTGCTGGGTTGAGGGTGGGAGATACGGAATGGTAAAGGTGGGACTTGAAACGGTTGGGTTTCTATAGGGTCAGCAGGGGGAATTGCTTGTCCTAACTCCATGACTTCTATTTTACTTTTTAAAAAGATTTATTGATATAAAAGGTGGGGGTGGGGAGGAGGCGGTGGGAAAGAGGGGGAATCCTCCCCGCCCGCTGGCTTATTCTCTGAAAGTCTGCAAGTGGTAGTGTGGGCCCGATGGAAGCCAGAGGCCAGGGCCACCCTGCTCCGTACGCCAGTAGGACGTCGGACAGAAACAGTGGCTGTGACTAGACTGGGATGTCAGTTCAGCACAAGTGCTGACTT